CCGAGCGCCACACCCCCTCTAACGCCCACAATCGCCCACTAACGATTTTAAAATGGGTCCTGCGCCCACATCTTTAAAGATTTCCGAGAAGTATAAATGCAATTTTGTTGTGTATATTTATACCTATCGAAATGTCGAAGACATTTTTCAAATCGGACCATTCATTAAAAAGTTATACGCAATCAAAATGTCTACATATATCTATCTCCCTCGCACTCCATTTAGCTGAGCTACGATTATTAGTCGGGACACCAACCCGCGTTCGAACTTCCTTTAGCTGAGTGACGGGTATTAGATAGTCGGGACACCAACCTGACTATAGCGTTCTCTCTTGTTTTTAGATATATATTTATCACTTATTATTTACTTCGATAAATTTAGAATAAAGTATTAAAAAGTAAAGCTGTACGTTTTATTCTTTTAGTTTATTTAAATGTTTGTTGGATAAATTCTTTTTAGTTTATTGGTTTTAATAGCATGCATCTCATCTGACACACTTAGCAGTTATCTTATTACATTAAAATAGATCTGAGCATGCAAACATAATGCGAATTTTTTTTGTTCAGTGCCTCAGCCATTCCCACACGCTTTAAGTCACTGCCGCTCATAATGCCCATAAAAAATTTGTCATCATTAGCCGGAGCGAATGACGCTGACGTACTGGGGTCCGCCCATCTATCAATGTGTGTATCTGTGCGCCAGGGGCAAGGACACTTTAAGATATTGCCCTGCTCGGGTCCTTTTGCTGCATATTAGTCAGCAGCTTAAAGCCTTCGATTGATTGATTATGCATCGGGGGCCAGTGGGCCACTGGGCAAAGGTCGCCAGTCGCTTTAAGGCTTTAAGCCGCCCCATTAGGGTTATTAAATATGCTCCTTTGAGGGTGTTCGCTCATATACGTATGTGAGCTATTAGAAACGATAATGGATTGCGAATATTAATTTCTTTGCATGACGAAAAGAATCAACAAAGAACAATGCGTTTAATCTTTATAGACACGCAGCCGCAGGAGAGGGACGGACAATGCCTTGTGCCAATAATGATAACCGGAAGCCATTAAAGGAAGTTTCAATACAAGAAACACTCTCCCACGCACACTCACACGCTCGCACACAAACGCATGAATGCCTTCATAGGCAGCTTAAGGCTCTGCGCTTTCCTTTGTGTGTATGTGCACTGGGCGAAAAGCTGGGGCCTAAGATCAAGGACCTGCCGGGTTAGCTTAAAGTACATGTCACATACTCTTAAATTTATAACCTTAGCTTAAAGTGCTAAACTATAGGAAAATTACTTAAGATCTAGTTTGCTAAACAACTTTTAAAAAGTTTAAGTTAATAAGAAAGATAATATTTCTTAAAATTTCTTCGTAAGATTTTATCTTTTAAAGTTCTGTGTTGTGTTATTACCTTTAGATTTTGTTTTTTCCAGTGCACCTGCGTGCGGTTGTAGTTGTGCCTGTTGTTTGCCTTCCATTTCCATTGCATCGTCGGCGGCAGCGGTGATATTGTAATTTTTATTCCTCTTTGTGCCATTCAGGCGGCAAGCAGCAAAGGGGAATCCTGCGAAAGGAAGCCGTCCTGCAAGTCGAGCGTTCAATTCCCTTTCAATAAGGAAGTGGATGTGGGAGTGGGTGGGTGGGCGTGGCACCGCACACGCACCTTGCAATCTTGCTAATGTTTTTCTAGAGAGCGCGTCTTAAGACCCGACTGCAGTTTGCAGTTTGCTCGGCAAACAGCCGGCAGGGCGATGCGGAAGTCAGGTTGGAAATCCGACCCTGGCTTAGGTCATACCACCATAACACCATGCTTCCACTCTACCATTCCGCCGGTATTATGCAGGCCGTCAGGCAGACAAGTTGAGGCGCCAAGTTTTCGGGAAATCAGGGGAACGGGTCGACCATCAATGGCACACACTCGCATTTTCAATTGATTAAACATCAAACGCACAGGCATGTAACCCCGTGCTTGTCTGTGTGTAGCCTGCATTTTTTACGTGCCGCAGAGCAAAAATGCCAGGGAATATTATCCGAGAGCATTATGTTGATGCCGATATATACTCGCACAATATGAAATTCCATTGCATTTTATAGGCAGGCAGCCAAGGAGAAGACAACAAAAATACAAAAAGCCGAAGGAAAGTATGAACTTTATTTTGAGGTGTCCCGACCAAGAAGAACCCATTGCTTAGAGGTGTTTTATTTGAAAGTACTTAATGCTGGAATTTGATTCTGTAGAAATATAAATTATTATAAGTGCTAAAAAATCTACACTCATAGAAATTTTTACCCTAAATCGCCCTAAAAAACTGACTTTTCGCCCGTGGATGCAGAAAATCGCCCATAAATCGTATCCGCTGGCGATTCGCCCGTGTATTTAGAAAAATTTTCTAAAAAATCCCTATGGAAATTTGGTTTAATTTAGGGTGATTTTTCTTGAATTGAGAAATATTTTCCTATTTTTAGGGTGATTTGCCCTAAGTTTAAGGCGTATTTTTCTAAAAGTAAGGGCGAATTTTCTGTTTTTAAAGGCAAATGCCCTAAAAAATTATGCAAATTAATAAAAAACGTGTTTGAGCATGCTTAACTGAATTTGGGAAGCATGAATTTTAATCGTGTATATTCTGGGAACTGAGACTGCTTTAATTAAACAACACAGGCGGAGGACACCGTTTCATATTATTGTATTGGTGTGTAGCTTATATGGGAGCTGCGTTAGGAGGGGGGCCCGATCTATACAACACAGCCGTTAGAACTGAAAAATCATGTTTGTAAACGAATTAGGGAAATAAATATGAGGAGAAAAAACAACTTACTTTTTTTGGTCATTGCGAGAATCGAACCCACGACCTCTGGGTTTAGAGTCTAACGTCCTACCGCTGCACCACAGACCCATCGCGCAAGACGACGAACAAACTCTGCACACATCTTATTTTCTTGAGGTCTACGTTATAATTTGACAAAAGGCAACTAAACCGAATATTTTTTTCCTGACGACTGTGACAATTAGTCCCGTTTTCTTGCCAGCAAACACAAAGTATGCTTTTAACTCAGAACTCCCATACGTTTTTAAGGTTTAAAGACTACTTTAATTTAAAATTCGGACGAAAAAATGTCCTTAGTATTATAACGTTTACAAAAAAAAAAAAAAACATAAAAATCAAGTTGAATCACACAGGGTTCGAACCCACAACCCCACGACCTTAGTCCTCATATAGCAAAGTTGAAAGCGCAAGTGATTAGACCGCTGGGCTACCGAATTTCACACTTTTGGAGTGATTTTTAAGGCGAATCGCCCTTGTATTTAGACAAATTTTAGAAAAAAAATTAGGGCAATTCGCCGTTGGATTTAGAAAAGGTCAAAACGAAGCAAATCGAAAAAAATCGCCCTAAATATTAGAAAAATAGAAAAATTAACCCTAAAAATATTTTTTTATGGTCACCTGCCTTGAATTTATGGCAAATTTGTCGTGAAAATAGAAAATTTTTCTCAGTTCAAGGGCGAAAATTTTTTTAGGGCGATTTTCTAAAATGTAGAAAATTATTTTTATGAGTGTAGTTATCTTTAAAACTTCTAAGCTATTAAAATACAATATTAACCGTTTTTATTATTACTAGGTATTTCTGTCCTCGAATTGTAAGTTACCATACTGTTAAACACCTTTTTAAAAAGTTTAAGCCTCTAGAGAGTTCCTTAAACTACCTCTAGCCTTGCATACCCCTGTAATGGGTATGGAAATCCAACACACACAGAGCAGAAACACAATGGAAGGCAGTAAAAACCTGCGGCAGGCCATTGTGAGGCATAAACAAAAGATGCAGCAGATGGAAGGCGGAGCTGCTGGATCGGCCAGAATAACAAAATACCGCAGACAAAAACCGAAAGCTGTTCGAGCGTGGAAAAGGTGAGGTCCCATCCCATCTCATGCCATTCCCCATTCCTCATTCCTCACCCGGCCCAAGTACAAGTGAGTAGTTTTAGTTGGGGATTGGCCTTTAGAAATGTGGCAAAGCAAAATTTATAGCTTGGAAATTAATAACAAAAAGCACACAATGAACTAGTGCATATATACCCGCCAGGCCATCCAAAGGGGCCTGACTAATAACGTTCCGCACTCTGAAGTGTATTAGACAACAGTGCGTATGATGAATGCCATCGAAGGACTTTCGAAACAAAGGCGTATAATTGTATGCGAAAGGTGGCCATCCACTGATAGGGTGGAAACAAAGGGCTGGGGAACTTTATTGTGTTAAAACTGCGGTTTCCTAACCCAAGGCGCAGAAGTCTTAGGCAAAATACTTCACAAATTCCCCCGTTGAGCAATAAGTACAAGTATGCGAACAATGTGAACTTCTGGGGCCTCGAAGATTATCTAGACTTTTAAATATTAAAATAGGGATTCCTAGATTAGAAGAAATAATTCATGCCATCCCCAAGAATAAGTATTTCTTCAGTATTGATTTATAATTACGCTATACTTTGTCTATCAAAAAGCCTTTACTCAGCTAAAGGGAATGCGAGGGAGATAAAGATATGCAAGCAGGCGATGAAAGGCTTCCTTCTACCTGTGACATAAGTTTCGACGAATACTATGTTGTAACGGGTATAAAAATATCTTAATTTTAAACAACAAAAACTAGCTATTTAAATTAAAAGTTGTAAGCATTAACAACAATAATGAAAATATTATTAATGATAATGTTAATATGTAAAATACATATTTATATATAGCTTTCAAATTTTAAGTTACTGATTTCTTAGGTTTAATTTTTATTAGGCGGAAGATCTTTGTATTTAATAAAATCAATAAATCGATTGCGTTTAACTCTGATGGTAAATTGTTAAAATTGCACAAAACTACATCAGTACGAATGATGAAAATAATTACTTAATTACTTGCTAATTATTATAATTGAAGTGACATTAGTATTGCTACGGATGGGTCAAAGCAAATACTTTTCTATAAAAGGTAAGGAGCAGGACATTCAAATTAAGTACATTACGATGAGTGAGCCTGTGGCAGTGAGTCCCGCCAGTCGCTTTCGCGAATTGTCTAAAAACATAAACAGTTTGACCAACTTACTTGGCGTGGATGTGCTGGCCCCCAAGTTGGAGTTCAACTATCGCACTTGGACCACAATCTTTGCTATTGTAAACTATACTGGATTCACGGTATTTTCTATACTCAACAATGGGGGCGACTGGGGGGTGGGCCTCAAGGCCAGCTTAATGGGCGGTGGTCTATTCCATGGACTCGGAAAATTCCTAACCTGCCTACTTAAGCACCAGGATATGAGGCGTCTCATCTTGTACTCACGAAGCATTTACGAAAAATACGAGAGTAGGGGAATATCCTACCACAGAACCCTGAATTCGAACATAGATCGGTTGCTCGGCATCATGAGGATCATTCGCAACGGATATGTATTCGCTTTTTGTTTGATGGGTATCCTGCCGCTAGCTATGTTAATGTACGATGGAACCCGCGTAACTGCGATGCAGTATCTTATTCCGGGACTCCCACTTGAGAACAACTTTTGCTACACAGTCACGTATTTGATTCAATTGGTAAGAGCCAGCCGAAAATATTTCTGCTAAGTTTATATTAAAAGCAAAGAGTAATAATACTTGAATGCAGGTAACAATGGTCGTACAAGGCGTTGGGTTCTACGCCGGCGATTTGTTTGTCTTTCTTGGTTTGACACAGATCCTGACGTTCGCCGATTTACTTCAGCTAAAGATAAACGAGCTGAATGACGCCCTGGAACTGAAGGCGGAAAACAGAGCTCTGGTAACAGTCGGAGCTCAAATAAAAGGAGAGGAACTGCGTCAATATCTTCTCATTGAAGTGATCAAATGGCATCAACTTTTCACGGAGTAAAAACTAATTGAATGAATTTATTTATAAAATTTAAAAACCAATTTACCTAAGTTTAACTAAGAAAAAATTTTGATATGCACAACCAAAAAAGTCGTTATTAAACGTCGATTGATTGTACATTATGTAATATCAATTTTCGAGACACCAACCCGACTATAGCGTTCCCTCTTGTTTTTCAGCTACTGTCGGACAGTGAACGGCCTTTATTACGAGTTAATTGCCACTCAGGTTCTTTCCATGGCTTTGGCCATGATGCTCAGCTTTTGCATTAATTTGTCCAGCTTTCACATGCCGTCGGCCATTTTCTTTGTGGTTTCCGCCTACAGCATGTCCATCTATTGCATTTTGGGCACCATACTTGAGTTTGGAGTGGGTTTTTAAGACTTTGTTTATTAAATAATTACCTAACTTTTATATTTGCTCCCGACAGTATGACCAGGTATATGAGAGCATATGCAATGTGACGTGGTATGAGTTGTGTGGCGACCAGCGAAAGCTGTTTCGTCTTATGTTGCGAGAATCCCAGTTTCCGCACACCATTCGGATCCTCGGAGTTATGTCGTTATCCGTAAGAACGGCTTTACAGGTAATTGGATTTTTTGTTCCCTTCTTTTAAATGCTTAAAACTATTGCATATTATTATATTTTTTAGATTGTTAAACTTATTTATAGTGTGTCCATGATGATGATGAACCGTACTTAAAAACTATATATATTCACATTCGTAAATTTAAAAAGGTAACAAATCCTTTGGGGTATCCAAAACTAAACCCCACCTGGAAACCGCTTACGAGTTTTTTTAAGCACAACTTTGAAATGGTTTTTCTCCACTTTACTCCTGATAAACTCGTCGTCGGGATGTTTTTCCTGATGCCATTAACCTTGGCCACTAATTACCAACGCACTGAGCTGAATTTATGGCATTGGTTTATGGAGCCCCCGACTCGAATGCATTAATTGTGAGTCTCATTAAGGGGAGTTTCTTACGCACAAAACATTTAATATATTTCGCACACACGCATAAAAATTTAATTTATTTTGAAATGGTTCGTTCACTTTCCTGATATTTGGCCAGCGGACATTAATAGCCCCTGACCAGGCCATGAATAATGGGCATTTTATAAATGTGGTCGGGACATCGGTCCGCATGCTTGGATAAAAAATAATAACAATAATTGTAACTTTATTATAATGCAGTTGTAATTAAGTACACCGCTGTCGTATATGCCACCAATGACTATAAAAGCGAAATGATATTAATAAAATCAACAGTCGGAAGGTCAGAAAGGACCAGAGCAACAGTTTGGTCAGCGGACTCATCGACCTCTTGGAGGAAAATTTACGAGCGTTTCACATTCCATAATTTACTCATTTTCCATGTGCTATTTAATTACGCTAAATAATGGCCGCAAGGGGTTGACAAGTTATTTGCTTATTTATGCCCAACGACAGAAAGGCGCTTACAAGTCGGACGAAATGCATCCAATAATTTAACCAAGACTATTTAATACATAATGGAGCAATCAATGTCAAAAATGTATTATTTATGTGCACTTTCGTTTAGCTATAAAACCAACATTTAAAATCAATTGCTTGATTTCATGGGAAAATGCGTTTCAACAAAAAAGCTATTTGCTTTCGTCTTTTTCCTTTAAAAATCGTTTTCAGGGTTAATTAGATGCTAAAACAAGAAAGGAAGTTAACTTCGGCCAGCCGAAGTTTATATACCCTTGCAGGTATGCCTACTTAAAATGTTGTTTTACATTGTCAAAAATTAAAACGCCTACTTACTACAAAGTTACAATGGTTTTTCTATTATTTTTGTTGATTATTCCTATGGGAGCCATAAGATATAGTGGTATGATCCGGCTCGTTACGACATATGTACTACCTGCAATAGAAAGAAGACTTTTGGGAAAGTTTCAACGCGATAGCTTTAAAACTGGGGGACTAGTTCGCATAGAAACGGACAAGACGGACATGGCTAGATGGACTCGGCTATTGATGCTGATCAAGAATATATATATTTTATGTGGTCGGAAACGTCTCCTTCACTGCGTTGCAAACATCGGACTGAAATTATAATACCCTCTGCAAGGGTATAAATATAACTGATCCATTATGCACAAATATTTCTTGCCTTATTAATAATGTGGAGTCTCACGAACAATATAGAATACCTTTTAAAATAAGTATCTTGAGCCTAACATTATACTACTTTGTTAAATTTTTGTGCTATTTATGCGTGAAATTCTTCCTGCGAATTGAAACACCGACTATGGCACTTGCCCAATTGGGTTTCGCATCCACTAATGCAATTTGTTCGCTTGTTGGCTGGCAGATAACAAAACTCATTTACAGCCTGTCCACCGCAATGACGCAGAATCATGGAATCGGCGGAAAGTGGAGGCACTCGGCACTCAACTCGGGGCTCTTAGCGTCAAGACACTTTGTATCAAATGCAGTGGCGCCATCAGCCCGTGCCATGCAATACATTTTCTAATGCTTGTTTTGAATCATATTTAGGAAGCGGGCCAGGAGGAGGAAGAAGGGTGGCTGGTGGCCAGGTCGCCAGCTGGCAAATAAAATAAATTAGTTGCAGTTGAAAGGTGGCTCAGACACAAAAGTCAACACGCAACGCGCGATGGAACCGCAAACAAACGCCAGCTGCTGGGCGCAGATAAAGTGGCAGGCAAACACGACGAAGGAGCAGGACGAGGGGGCGGGACGAAGTTCCAGACGCGATGGAAGGACCTATGGCAAATCAGCTGCCAACGCAGCGCAGCTTACTGGCAAATATTAAAATGCGAATTTTTATGCTCGCTGACATTCGAGCCTCCCACTTTGCCACCACAACTTCCCCCTTCTGGAAGCATAATTCTCACTATGCGAAATATGGTAGAATGTTCTCCGTCGCTGCACAGGAAAATGTATTCAAATAACTCAGTTTTAACTGTTAAAAACCGTTTGAAAATACAATTTTCGAAATGTTTTTCTATTGAAATAGGCTTTACAAACATTGTAAAACTAGTATTATTTGAAATAATTAAAAAAATCATGAATAATTTTGAAGTATTTTTTTTTTTTAAATTTTTATCAACTGTATTCTAAGTATTTTTGGCCAAATAATTATAAATTATAATTTATTTCATATTTTGCAGAATTTGGTGTTTTATTAGGGTAGGGTCCTGCCATTTTTAAACAAAAAATTGTTTATAAATTATTTTAATTACATTTTAATATGTTTAGGTTACACAGTGAAAAATTCTAATCGATCGGACTAGCACATTATTGAGTATAAGTGACAAAACTAAACTATTTATACATGCTAGCAGTTTTTCCAAAAAAATCTTAGTACTAGGCGATCTTTTAATAAGAAAAGATTAATTTTAGATAGAAAATATAATATTTAAAAAAAATGGCACTGAAATGATAGTATTTGGTCTCCCTTATTCGGGTCATAGAATCGATCACCAAGGAATATTAAAAATATTTTCCGTGTTTTGGCGGCTCCTGTTGGCTCCTGGCTCTTTTGGCTCCTGGCGTATCCTTTCGCAAGCATTTTCTTGCCGCGTGCGCACATAAATTAGCTGCCAGGCTAAGAAATGGCGGCGGGCAGCAAAGGTTGTCCCAACTCCATTTCCCCGCTGCGGTTTGTTGCGCCCTGTTTATGCGGGTGCTGCTGGTGGGTGCATTAAACCAATAAATCAGCGAGCCACTGCAAAAAAGCACAAAAACCGAGCAAACTGGTGTCAGGCACTCTTTGAGCCACCAGCGTGGCTCCGCATATTTAATCAATATGGTGAGCACAAAACATGAATTAATCTTGGCGCCCTTTAAAGCGGTCCGCATTTTTACGCTTCTCATTTTTACAACGGAAAAGGGCATTTTTAATTTAGAGAAATTCTTGCGGCCATAAAAAGCTTGTCGGGCAAATCAATTAAATTTAAATTGTATCCCATTAGAGCCACATTAAATGAGTTAAGTCATTTGGGGGACCGCGTGCCGCGTCTTAGCCTTCTTTATGCCGCTTTGAAAAGGGTACAAATGAATTCATTTTATTTTTTGACGCACATAACCGCCCCTTGTCCCAAATCACCGGAACCCAACCCGCCGCTGGACGCAATTAAAATGCCCACGAGCTACTAATTTGCCATGAAACGGCGGGCGGCTCGCCGAATGGCCTAAAGTCCTAACGGCCCGATTTTAAAATGCTGCCGAAATTTAAGAGTTGATGGCTATTAATTTATATTATGCATGATTTGTGTAGCATTTTTCTGATGGCACAATCGCTTTTGGGCCCCGCCCGGCTGTCGGTTCCCAGAATTGCCTTCTGCATTCTGCGGTAGATGCCATTTTCCGGATGGTGCTGTGTGTATGTGCGTTGGAGATGTTTATGCAAATAAGTGAAATATTTGGGTCATGCGACTGAAAAAGATCGCAATGGACATTGGATGAAACTAAACCTTAAACGTTGAAATAATTACACAGATTAGGCAAGGGAGAATGGAGGCAGCATTTATAATTGGACATTTTAAAAAAGGAGCAAAGAAATTAATAAAATCATTTAAAGTGAAAGTGAAACTTAATTACAAATTCACAAATCTAAACAGCTTTACTCTGTTAGTTTGTATAAATTGACATTCCGGCCTGTTCCAGTTTTCACTCGGAAGTGAATTTGATTTCATGCTAGCGGATTTAAGTCCGCCTGTCAAATGCTTGGCGGAAAGTTTCCATGTGAATTTTTCGGAAGTTAACAGAGTAACAACGAGGGATATTTAAATCCTTGCAATTCTTTCGGAGGTGAGTCCTGGAACTGGTCTAAGAAATTCGATTCCGTGTGAATCTTTCGGAAGTGAAAACTAGAACAGGGCCGATTATTAAGTAAGCTGTAAGATAAAATAAAAAAACAAGAAAGAACGCTAAAGTCGCAAGCCTCCATTATACTCTGTTCAACAACTTGAAAGTGCCTCCATTTGACTAATAGCGTTCTTGTTTTTATTATTTCATTATAGATTAGAACTATTAGTATCTTAAAAAAACGCATATAAATGCAGAGGCGGATCCAGGATTTGCTTGTGGGGTGTGTTACCACAACGCTTTTTTGCTGCTTACTTTTTGAATACCAAAATTCCATTCATTTTTCACCCGAGTTATATTTCATCCATATTACCCCCGTCGATCCGTGCATGATGTGAAGTATTTTAAAGAAAATATTCTTGTACTTCTTTAAAGCCTACACACAAAAAAAAAACTTAGTAAAATCAACTGTAATAATTTTCAAATAGGCCCCAACCAGCAAAATTGTCAATTCTACTAAGTAACAAGAGAGAACGTTATAGTCGGGTGCCCCGACTATCAGATACCCGTTACTCAGGTAAAGGGAGTGCGAGGGAGATGGAGATATATATTGAAAACTTTGATCACGCATAACTTTTTAACGAATGGTCCGATTTGAAAAATTTCTTCTACATTTCGATAGGTATTGATAAACACAATAAAACTGCATTTTTACTTTTCCAAAATATTAATTTTAAAATCGTATATAAGCGATTGTGGGCGTTAGAGGGGGCGTGGCACCATTTTGACAAACTTGCGCTGCGTAGGAACTCCTAAAATCTGCATGCAAAATGCCAACCTTCTAGCTTTTATAGTTTCCGAGATCTCAGCGTTCATACAGACAGACAGACGGACAGACAGACG